GGCCAAAGAAAAATAAATAAATAAAAAGGAATTTTAGAAAACTTTTGTTACTTTCTAAAGGTCCCAGTTATTTATTGTAAATCGTGTATCTACAGATCGCTGAAACCTTCAAGGTACAAGAAAGAGGCAGTAAGCAAAGAATTGCTAAATAAATTCGTAAAATAACTTAATTGACTAATATTGAATATAAAAGCTTGCAACTAATTGACGAGTGTTGCTTGAAAGTTAATCCGAATTCGGTCATAAACATAAAACACTTGTATTAACCTTGTAGTATTAAAGAAAAAGGTATGTCATGCCGCCTTCCTTTTTGTAGTACACAACATAAAGTGTCTATGCTATTTAATATGGACTAATTTACCTTTTTACATTATGCCTGTTTATCTCCTTTCCTTCTTTCTGGAAATTAATTAAATTTTGCTAAGATAAAGATGTCATATAATCTTGTTGTTCTTGGAGATATTAATGTTGGAAAGGTAACAAAATTTGGCTTTTTTTAAAAAAAACCATTTGTTTTTATTTAAATAATAAATTTGGTTTATCTTTCATTTAATTAGACTGCACTCATAATTCAGGTATACATTAAGCTATGGTATATTGTTGGTGAATTTTTAAACAATACTTATCTCTTGCTACTATTTTTTATTGACTTTTAAAACTTGGTTAAATTATTTTGTTGGTATGTATTTTTCAAATTTATAGATTTTCTTTTTATCATGAATTCTATGCATTAAAACTAAAAAATAATCATTATCTCTATTTTATTTGAACACAGTGACCCTTTGCCTATTCAATATTTCATTTTATTTTTAGACCTATGACCCGACAATTGTAATTTCATATAAAAAACAAGCAGTAATTGATGGTCAACCCTGTGTAATATATGTGCTGGAGACTGCAGGTCAAGGTGATACTTTGTTACTTGTTATAATAAATTGAGGACAATTAAACATTTATTTATTATTATAATTATAACTATCTTTTCTTTTTAAATAAAAGGGGAGCACACACCACTTTGGGATCAATGGATCAGGTAGAAGGAAATTTAAAGTTTCTAATAATAATTGTTAGAATTAAATATGACTTAAAATTATACATGTAATAATGCTAATAAATATATAGAGATGGAGAAGGATTTCTTCTGGTGTACTCTGTATCATCACATTCAACATTTGAACAAGTAGAAAGGTTTAAAAATCAAATAGTAAGAATAAAAGGCTCTAATAAAATTCCACTTATACTTGTAGGAAATAAATCTGATGAGCATACAGAACAGGAGGTATCAAGGGAAGAAGGAATGAATATGGCAAAGAGACTTGGCTGTGAATTTTTTGAAAGTTCGGCAAAAACACTTGTAAATGTAGAAAGGCCATTTTACACAGTGGTTCAAATGATAAAGCAAAGTAGAAAAAAAAAACAAAGAACAATAAACTTCAAATTACCATTAAAATCATTAAAATTGCAATTAAAATCATTAAAATTACTATTAAAAATAAATGCAGAATCTATTTCAGAGGAGGAAAAATGGTTTAAAAATCAACTTAAAAGGGAATGTATTTTATTTCTTGATTATAAATACTTTCAAAATATTAAAATTATTGATGGTGGATCATTCGGAATAATTTCTTGTGCATCTTCAAAGCATCATCAAGGGCTTGTGGCATTGAAATCCATTAATATTGACCAAAAATATACTTTTGAACAACTTCTTAATGAGGTAATCTTTTTTTTTAATCTAATAAATTAAATATATATATTATCAAAAATATTTACAAATTGATTTTTTTTAAAGGCAAAACAACATTGTAAAGTAGAACATCACAGTAATATATTAAGATTTTATGGCATAACAAAAGAA